TCGAAATTGAAGTTTCTTTGGTCGTGCAGAGAAAGTTGATCCCCCTATTAAGTGCCCTCGCGACGCTGGTTGTCTCATGGCATATCTTGTGGTAGTGGCATAGGCGCCCCGCCGGCTAGATAGACTCCATTGGATGAGCAATAGGCCTTTAAAAGGTGTAGCGGTTGTGATGTAGAACTGATAGAAGTTGAAAGTAGAGGGCACTGAGCACTTGTCTCTTTTATATGAATTCATCGAGCGCGAACATACTTCGAACCTTACAACGTCGATTGATGATATCTCCTCGACGGTAATGAGGGTAGGGATACCTGCTAAGCATGTTTTTCTCTTATCGTGGTGTTGACAGAAGATTTCACGAGAAAAGTGTCCTTCAGCTAGCACGAAGATCACTGGTTCAAGACTTTGGAAGGTCAGGTCTCATGTTATAGGAGTTTAGATAACCGTATGTTCAACCTGTCGCTCGTACCATGTCGTTGGTTTGTAGTCGAAACCGGCGTTTCTGTAACCATCGCGGAAATCTAAGGTGCTCAGCTCATTCTGATTCACAAGGCGTCTCACCTCCAGTAGATGGCAACAGTCACGCCGTATTGTGGAGCTCTGGACTGGTATATCTGTCGCAAGCGGACTCGGGCTCACTAACAGCGGAATTAATCCTCACATTTTGTGGGCATGGAAGTTACTTGGGTCGTGCTAATGAATCGGGGTTTGATCTCCGTATCGGGTGCTCTCGCGAAGTTGATTGTCTGATGGCACATCTCTTGGTAGTGGCAAAGGCGCCCCACCCGATGGGATCGGTTTTACTCAATGCGAAATAAGCGCGTGTTTGCGATGTATAACTGATGGGAGTTGTAGATAGAGGACACTTAGCACTTGTCCCTTTTATATGAAATCATTGAGCATGAACATACTCTAAACCTTACAGCGTCAGTTCATAGTGTCTCCTTGTCCTTGATGTGGTGAAGACTATCAGCTAAAAAGTTTTCTGTCGTCGTTGTGTCGACAAAAGATACGAGTTTACGGGACAAGTAGCCTTCAGCTAACACAAAGATTAGTCGAAGACTTTCTGGGCTCAGTCGTAACGTACTTGTCATGTTGTAGAGAGTCAGATAATCGTATGTTCTACGATGTCTTTCGTACTATTCCGTTTTAGTTTTTGAGATCCTGTTTTGCTAATGTTGTCGACTTTAAATCATGGCCGCTCTCTTGCGGTAACTGCTCGTAGTCTTGCTATACCCGCCCAGGCTGGTGCCATTACCGGTAGCTCGAGGCATTTTGCTGGGAAGGCTTCCCCCAGTGGCGGTCAGTGGCAGACCATGGATGGTTGCACTGCTGTGTGCCATGTGTCCTATGCTATGATGGATACCGCCTACATCTACCCTATTACTCCCTCGTCCCCTGCTGCTGAGCTCGCTGAGCAGTGGTCAGCGCTCGGTGTTAAGAATGCTTTTGGTGATGTTCCCAAGATCACGCAGATGCAGTCCGAAGCTGGTGCTGCCGGTGCCCTTCACGGTGCTTTGGCTGCTGGTTCGTTGGCGACTACTTATACTGCCAGTCAAGGTCTCCTCCTTATGG